TTTTTTTTTTTTTTTTTTTTTTTTTTTGGTACTAGGGATCAAACTCGGGTCCTTGTGCTTGTGAGGCAGGCAGCAGAACCACTGAGCTAAGTCCCCAGCCCCGCATGTGTCCTTTTATGTTGAGCCCCGATGCTAAGAAGATTCTGTTAGAGCTACGTGTGTATCTGGAGCCTGGCATGTGGCCACTCCAAGCTCATCCCCGCCAAGCTCCCTGGAGTTAGTTCTCTACACTTCTGACCACCGCTTCCTTTATAACCGTCACTGCTGTACTCTGGTTGAATAAGGCTACACTTCCCTGCCTCCGTGGTCCTTCTGGAAGGCTCAGGCCCACCTACTCCCTGGGCCCCACAGGCACACCCTACTACCCCACCTCCCTCTAAGGCTGGCTCCAGGGTCGCCTCAAGTCTTCCTTCTTCTGAGCTCACACTTTCTCAACACATTCTGGTTTGTTCTCAACTACAAGGCTCACCAACTCCATGAGCTATGAAATCCAAGGACAAGATCTATACCTGATTCATCCTTGAAATGTCCAGGGCCAGAAACAGCACCCGGTACAAGCAGGGTAAGCACTCAGGGTAGAGTCACTGAATATGCCAGTGCGTGGGCGAATACAGTAGGCCGCCTGCCTGACGAGGAAGTGTAGTCCCAGCAGCCCCACTGCTCCTCAAGCCTCACCTTCCATAGGAGCAGCACCAGCAGCGCCAGCACCAGCAGCCCGGCCAGCACAGCCAGGAGGATGACCCACCAGGGTACCCCTTCTGCCACCACAGCCATGGGGTCCAAGTATACCATCACTGGGATCTGGGAGGCAAGGAGTCAGTGGTGTAAGAGCAGGACAGAAGAGGGTGCCCCACCTGCCCATGCCCGCCCTGCAGCTCACCGCCGTGGAGGCGTCTCTCAGCACCAAGTTCTTGATGGAGGACTTCACTGTGATGTTGGCTCGCACAATCACTTCCAGGGACTTCACAGCTGAGTACTCCTAAGGAAGCAGGAAGGACACCCTGCTCCCAAATGCCCCACGACCCCCACCCAGATCCTGAAGTTAGAGATGGACTGGTGTCCAACCCAGAGGATGTTTCTGCCCAGCTACGGTTAAGCTCGTGCTGCATTGGGACAGGGAAGAGACAGAAGTGAGTTTTGATGGGGCTTTTGCAGAAGAAGAAAGCCAGCCTGCAGCCCCGCAGTAGTCTTACCTCCAGAAAGGTGCTGTTCCAGAGGCGGCCCCAGACGCGCAGCACGGCCGCTCGGTCGAAGCTGTAGAGTGGGCAGCTGAACACCATACATTTGGCTGTGCCCTGGGCACAGTCCTGGGGACAAGGACACACAGGGCTCTGAGCTGCTCAGCCCCACTCCACTGAGCCTACCATTTCTCTCATTTTCCTTACCCAGCCTCAAGTTCCTCTCCACTGGGAAGTCTTTGCAAAGTAGCCCTATGGTCCAAAACAGCTGCCCACTCCAAACTGAGTTATTTGCCTTTGCAATGCATGGGGGTGGAAGAGAGGAGGACTCTTACTTCATAGCGACAGGCAGAATCGTCTCCCCAAGTAATGCTTAGGCCCCCTAACGATGGTCTCATTTATGGAGCACCTACTTCCTATGAGGCACACACTTACCCTCCACAGCTCCTACGAGGTGCGTATCATTACATCACTTTTCAAAGGAGGAAACTGAGGCCCAGAAGAAAAGATGGCCAGCCTGCCTCAGGTCACAGAACTAGCAAAGCTAGTAAATGATGGAGCAGATATTGGAAGTCAGGTCCATATTTGGCAAAACCACATCTTTGACTAAGTCCAAACTGATGAAGGAGGCAGGGGACTCTGCCCAGGCTCCTTTCTGGCCTGACATAAACCCATTTGGCCCGTTCACCATCAGTAACCCATTTGCCTAAAAGATACATCATATTCATCATGCCAGCACCCATGTACCGAAGAACAGCTTTGAGGGCAACTGAATTCTTTGAGTCATCTTTTATTTTGCCACCTTTGAGCAATTCAAGAATCTTTCGTCAATTTGTTTAAAAGCGAGGCCATCTGCCTCAATGGCATATAAAAGAATCTATTTCAGATGTGATGTTAAGTGAAATAAGCCAGACACAGAAAGACAAATATTGCATGATCTCACCCATATGAGGAGTGTGGGAAAGATGAACTCACAGCAGGAGAGAGCAGAGTGGCCACTACCCAGAGTCGGAGTGGGGACGGGGCAGGGAGATGCTGGCCAAAGGGCACAAAGCTTCAGGCAGGCAGGAGGAATAAACTGAAGGGATCTATTATTCTACATCATGGTGACTACTAGTAATAATAATATATTTCTCAAAATCACAGAGAATACATTTCCAGTGTTTATATCACAAAAAAGAAGTGTGTGAGGCAAGTTATAGTAATCTGCTCAACTGGCCATCCCACAATGTATACACATTTTCAAAACACCATGTTGGGGCTGGGGATTTAGCTCAGTGGTGTTGTGCCTGCCTTTCAAGTGCAACATCCTGAGTTTTATCCTTGGTACTGGAAAAAGAAACAAAAACAAATCAAAACAAAACCCATGATAAATATTGAGTTTTACCAATTAAAAATAAATAAATATAATCTATTTCCAAGTCCATATTAAAAAGGGAGGCCTCTCAGAGGCTGTCAGTCCTGTGCCAAAGCCAGGACCAACCCCATAGTTGAGCAATAGCAGGTTCCCAGGATCACCGTCCCGGGTTCTTCAGTCTGCCTCTGGCCATGCCTTCTGGAGCTCCCTTCCCAGGCAGAGGGCACCAGGCCCCTGCTCACCCTTCCATACCTGAGGTCCACCTACAACAAAGCCAAACACCCTCTAACCGGCGTCGTCACCACCTTTCCACTGCCCCACTACCAACCCTAGAAGGGACAAGCACACGGCATGTGCTCATTTGTTCAACAAATCCACGTCATGAACAGAACTAGATGAGAAAGGAGGAAAGGAGAGAAGCAGAACTGCACGAAAGGGGGCGAGTTAATGAGTCACGTGTAATACATTGTAATTTTGACCACAAGAACCTCAAAAAAATGCTTTTGACATTATGAAAATCAAGCACCAATTGAGCTCAAAAGAACAAACATCTCAAAGATGGCTGACCTCATCCCAGTCCCTATGAAGTGCGATGTTTCACATACATGCGAGGGGAGTCAATGTCTTGGTCAACTGGCTGTAAGTCAAGTGCTGAGCATCTGGACTGGGGGGTCTGTACTATCAGCAGCTGCAGCAAAGTCACCCCCACCCTCAAGTTTTGCTGCAAACTATCTTGCCAACTTGTCCCAGTATTGGGGATTGAACCCGAGACCATCACCCTGGGCTATTTTGAGCCAGCATCTCACAAAATTGCCCAGGCTAGGTTTGAACAGAAAGCTGGGGTGACAGCATGCACCCTCACCAGGGTGATGTTCCTCTTCTTCTCAGCGTAGGACACTGGCCACCAGGACGTGCTGGGCTCCGGCTGCTCATGAGGCTCCTGCTGCTCTGGCTGCTCCAGCTCCCGCCGTCTCCTATCCCTGCTGTCCACATCCTGGATATGGGGAGGGAGGAAGGGACTGGTGAGTGCCGCTCTCATCACCCATCCCCAAGACCCCAGCCCCACGATGACCCTCCCCGAGGATGGCACCCCACCCACCCCTGCTTAAATAAGCCTTACCAGATGGAGGATATTGGGCCTGGGAGAACAGAGCCCTTTCTGCCCAGGCCCTTGCCCGCCCTCCAGCTCCACCCGCATGGGGTACAGCAGCCACTTCCCATTGGCAATCTCATGGGGCCACATGACGTTGAGGAAGGCAGAGCCCAGGGTGTTGAGTGACTGGCCTTGGTTGGAGACCTGTGGGCCAAAGACGGTATGAAGGAAGGGGGAGCAGGTTCTGAGAAGGCCCTAACCTTATAGAGATGAAGGGGACATGCTGAGGGGGTCCAGGAAGCATAGATTCAACAAAGACTCAGATTCTACACCAGACAACACACTTTTGATGTTGTTGTTGCTTTTGCTTTTTGAGATAGGATCTCGGTATGTAATTCAGGCTGGCCTTGAACCCACTATGCAGCCCAGGCTGGCCTCAAACTCACAGCGATCCTCCTGCCTCAGTCCCCAAGTGCTGGGATCACAGGCATACACCACCACACCCAGCCTCTACACACCATTCTTTCCCCACACTGAACCGAGGAAAACGTGGAGGTGTCCTGAGAAGGTATGAGCAAGGCCCCCAGCCACACCAAGGCAACTGACCTAAAGATAGATGTCCACTCTGCTGCAAGGTCCCATCCCTGAGCTGAAGCCCCAACAAAGAAGGTTCTCTGAACCCTCACAGTGTCCAAGTCCAACAGGAGAGACAGTCAAAGTGACCAGGAAATGGTCAGCAGGACCCCAGCCAGAGCATCTGCCCAAAGCCCAAGTCCAGATGCAGAACAAGGGCCCCACCATGTTGCCTATGGGAGAAGAGCCCAGCCCTGGGTATGTGTCTCAGTTTGTCCTCTTTGCCAAGAAGGGAGGGGCCCATGAAGGGGCCACGGCCAGGACACTTACCGTGACCTCATACTTGACCTTGCTGCCCACATCCCGCTCAGACCGCATTGCACTCTCGCCCCTCACCACACCAGAGAAGAAGAGTTGCTGGGGTATGGCCACCCTGGTGAGAAGGGGTCAAAACAAGGACTGAGGAGGCCTGGGGACTGGCTAAGAAAGGGTCTCCAGGGTAAAGTGAGGCAGAGCCCAGGTCAGGGTGTGGAAGTGGTGAGGCCCCCACCCTCCAGCAGAAGTGCCCACTTGGACAGGGCTTACCCTGTAATGGCCAGCGGCAGCTCAATGAAGACATGGGCTCGAACAGAGATCGGATGCAACTCCTGCTCACTGATCCTGTGGACGGGGGCACATGTGGGCAGCAGGCACAGGCATGCCCTGTGGGTCCACGAGGCTGATCCCACTGCCCCCAGTACCCTCACTCTGCACCCCCAGGCTCACGTGGCCAACAGCAGCTCCACCTCTAACTCCGTGGTCTCAATGGTGATCCCAGAGGTGCTGAGGATGAGGTAGAAGGTGACCTAGGCCAGCAGAGTGACAGAAGAGTCAGGGGTGGGCCAGGGCATAAGAGGGGGCCACTCGGACAGGGCTAAGGGCAGAAAGGGCCAACCTGGGCACCTCTCTTCATAGGGTTCCCCAGCTCACACTCGACGTGGGAGGCGTTCTCATTGGACAGGCAGAGAGGCTTCTCCTGGAGTAGGATGGAAGCTCAGGTCAGTGTGGGGCACTAGAAGCCAAGACCTCACCCCTCCCTGCCCTAGGTCCTCACCGCAGGGTCCAGGGCCCGGACTCCTGAGTAATGCAGTGAGGCGGGAAGAGTGACCAGGAGCTGGGCTTCGTGGGCATCGTCCCCATCAGCCTGGGGCTGGGCTGGGTCCGAGGGCAGGTTGGTGACCATCAGCTCCAGGCCGATGACTGGCTGCCCACTCAGTGCAAACAGGGCGGTCCTCCCATCCACGTCCCTAGAGGGCCGGATCCCACTCATTCTGAGTGAGCTCTCTCCCTACCCAGTCACCCCAGCCACCCTCCACTGCCTCCACACCCAGAGCCTCTCCTGACACCTCAGGCCCCCAAGTCACCCACCAGGCCATGCCAGGTCTTTCTAGGCGAGAGTGAGTCAGGGGACCTCTGTGCTCATCCCAGCTCCACCACTTAGTCACCCTGGGTAAGAAACTTAACCTCTCTAGGCCGCAGCTTACCATCTGTAAAATGGGACTAACAATTCCTACTTCACAGTATCCTGAAGATGACACGATGGTAAGTATGTAAGTGTGAAGCTAAGAGGTTGATTTTAAGGACTAATCTTCACCAGGGCCTCTATGTTCTGAATCATCAGCTGGTCCTCGCCAGCCTTCTTCAGTCTCCTCTGACTCAGGCCCTCCCTCTGCCTGGTCTTCCCAAATTTCCTGCTCACATTACTTGAGCTCTTCCCCACCACCGCCACCGCATGCTGCCGCCCCCTCACATGGGCAGAGGCTGGAACTCGGCGTTGCTGACCCGGGAGCAGAAGCGGGCCTGTACCAGCTGTAGATTGCTCTGACAGATCTTGTCTTCACCACAGCCTTGCTTCAGGAAGTGGATCTGGGAAGAGATTGGGGAGAGGGTGATTCCTAGGGGCACGGACTGAACATGTCCCCAAAGCACATAGTACGTTGGAGTGTCACAGGATTAAACGACTCCAGATCTGCTGTTTACTGGCTGATATTGGACTCATCACTTAACCACTCTGAGCTATAAAATGATGGGCGTGTTGCGTGCTACGTTACAGGCCAGAAGGCTAGTCCACAGCCGGACCACATTCCCTCAGAATGTGCAGGGTGGTACATCCCTACCCTCAGGCTGTCCCCGAGGACCATGCAAGAAGCTGCATGTTCCCCCTTCCAGCTGAATGGGAGGGAGGTGACTTCAGGACCTTGGAAGCTGCATCTGAAGATGACAGAGCCCCGTCAGCCTGGACGGAGGAGCACCATCCTTTAGGACTAGGCACACATGTCAGTTGGGCCATTTCACATCTTACAGTCTACTTGTGACAGCACCTAAAGATATAAGGAACCCTTGGGGCCACACTCCAGAAGAGCTTTGCAAGTGGCGAATGAGTGTCACCTCCTCAGTCAGAGGAGACTAAGTCACTGGTGAGGGATGACGGTCATCACCCTCCCAGCACCTCTTCCCATGCTCACCTCTGCCCGCTGGGTGCTGGGCTGGTAAGCATTGAGGATGGGGGGGACCGGGTTCAGCCCCTGCCCAGGAGCCTGGCGCCGGAACCGAGGGGTCTGGAGACTGTAGGACAAGGTCACCACAATGGCCCGAAGCTTGTCTTTGACATTCTCCTAGGAAGAGAAAGTTTGTCTCTCACTGGAACAACCCAGCCTATGGTCCCAGCAAGAGCGAGGACAGATTCTGAAACTTGGAAAGAAGTTCAGGGAGAACAGAGGTAGAGAACTGAGCAAGGAGAAGGGAGACTGCTGTAGGGGAAGGAGGGAGAGCCGGGACCCAAGCTTTGAGACCAGATATGACAGACCCTGCCATCACCACCCCCAGGGAGTGCAGGACTTGACAGGAGGTGCACGCAAGGCAGGAGTGAGGAGGAGATGAGCCCGGAAGGGAGGCTCCAATATCTCAATCCCAGAATGAGCATTCAGAGTCCTAGCGAAGAAGCGGCTAAGCACACTGAAGGAAGAGACCTGCCGTGAGAAGGCCACTCAGAGGCCAGGCCCCAGTGCCTACCTGCAGCTGGAACATGGTGTCTCCACAGGCTCGGTCATTCTGATGCTTCAGCCACACAGTGCCCGAGGCCTGGTGCTTGGGGTCATCCGGGCCACGGCTCAGGAAGGTCACCCGGGGAACCTGTCCCCGGAGCCTCCGGTCTGTGTCCCCGTCTAATAAGTAATCTAAGGCTACAGTGTGTGGTGGGGGAGAGAGGAGCCAGTGAGCTGGGAAACCCTTGTATCCGTCACTGTCCCCAAGGTGCCCCTTCTCCACCCTACAGTGACTACCCTGGAAACCCAGCAGGGTAAGCAGTGGTAGGGGACACCACTCACCCACAATAGGGCTGTAGCTGTTGGGCACTGTAGTGTAGCTGAAACAAATCCTTAGATCCACACTGTGGAGGCAAAAGCGGGGAGGGGTCTTGAGCCAAACAAGGCTGAGAGACCAAGACCCCAGCCCCAACCCCACATCTTGCCACAGCCCAACACCCAGCCCCAAACTTAGCTGAGAAAGGGAGAGGCGGCCACTGGACCCTGGCAGCTTCTTCAGCCCTCCCCTCGGACCCCACCTCACCAGACAGAGTGGCCACCAGCACAGTTGGGTTGCTCTAAGTCGATGACCCGTGGGGCAATGAAGACCTCATGGGCAACGTGGAGGACAGGTCTGGCCCTAGGGGTGCAAGTTGGGTCCAGGGGGCAGGGAACATGAGTGGGGTCAGAGTTCCAGGTAGGGGTTAACGGCCTCAGGGAGGAGAAGGCAGAGCCGAGCAAAGGCTCACCGGAAGAGAACCGCGGTGTCCGCCAGGGAGCCCACAAGCAGGTCTGGGTAATGGTTCCCGTCCACATCCAGGCCACCCGACAGAGAGTAGCCAAAGCTCTTGATGCTCACAGCCTCGCCCTCCAGCACCTGGTGACCAGCAGTCAGCCTCCTAAAACCCTGCCTCCTCCCTGCTCTCCCTCCCCTGCCCTCTGTGGCTCCCAATCCACCCACACCCATTCCCTCATTCCAACAACGACCTCACCTGTGAAGGTTTGGTGATGACACCCAGGCTGCTCCCGTGGTAGATAAAGACTTTCCCATCCCCATCGAAAGGAGCTCCCACAGCAATGTCTGAGGGCCATGGGGAAAAGGCATTTCCCTCAGCCACTCAGTCCTGCATAACGTATGTTCTGGTTTATGGAGCCACTACTAAGTCCCAGGCACTTCACACACATTATTTTCAATCCTCTCAACCACTCTCTCCAGGGAGAAAGGTCAAGTAATTCACTCGAAGTCACAAACCAATTCAGATGTGAGCCCAGGTTCCTTCTCTCCCTGAGCCCTCAGAAGACCACCCCCTGGCCACTGAGACCTTCTGAATCCCTCCCTGCCACCTCCTCCACTGAGCCTTTCCTGTTCCCATCCACACCTGGGAAGCCATCTTGGTTGAGGTCCCCCAGCACAGCCAGGCTGATCCCGAACATGGAGTCAGGGGAGCCACAGAGCCGAAGTGGAGAGACTCCTGCCCAGTGACCACCCTGGTTCATGTACAAATACACAGCACCACCCAGCTCTTCTTGGCGCTCAAAGAAGTAGGGTGCACCCACTATCAGGTCTGACCAGCTACGGAGAGAAGGAGATGGTCGGTCAGCGGGTTCCTCTGTGGCCAAGGGAGTGAAGAGAAGATGCCAGAAGGTGCTCATACCTCCCAGACCAGTGTCAGGTCCACCCCGTCCCCTCTCACCCGTCATTGTTGAGATCTGCCACAGCCAGGGAGTAGCCAAAGCCAGAAGTCAGGCGCTCTCCTGAGAGCACAACTTCAGGCACCAAGCGACTGGCGCTGTCCTTGCGAAGAATGACCACAGCTCCCTTGTGGTTGGCACGGGGGGCCCCTGCCACAAAGCTCAGCTCATCTGCACGTACCAGACCCTTCCCAGAGTCAATGGCAAAACCTAGGTGAGAAGGTGACTTTCCACTGAGTGTTTCCCCAAGACTCAGAGGCCAGGTGTGCCACAGCTCCCAACCTGCACATCCCAAGAGGTCTGGAGGCAAAAGGTAGAGGCACCCCAAATCATCTCTGCTGCAGCTAAACCACCCTTCCTGCCCTTCCAGGCCTAGGCAGCCCTCCTGTCCTCAATGGACGGAGGGGGAAGTGGGGGTCACAGCCAGTCTCACCAGGCCTCGTTTCCACTTCCCCTGCAGAGGGATGCAGGGGAGACAGTGGGAGGACTTACCCACAAGGCTAGACCTCGCTCCACCCTCAGAGGAAGCCCCCTACAGGTCAGGCCCGTCCTTCCCAGGAGCCTCAGCCCTGTCCCTCTCAGTGCTCCAGGGTGGTCCCCCATGAAGACCCCTGCTCACAGCCCCAAGGACACCCCCTTGAGGCCTCCTCTTCTCAGGCCAGGTCGCTGGACGAGCTCTTCTCTGCAATTTGAGCCCAATATCTGTTTCCCAGGGGAGGGGAGTAGGACAGGAAAGATGTCCCCTGGGGGAGGAGGGGAGGCCAGGCCATGCCCACAGCCCCAGAGGTGGGGCGTACAAACCTAAGTAGCTATTCAGGGACAAGTCTCCGGCTGGTCCTGGGAGCCGGTCAGCGGGGTCCAAGGTTTTATACACCAGCTGGTCGGGGTCTGAGCTATCAATGTTGGTCACAAAAAGCAACCCTGTGTGGAGCAGGAGGGGGAAAGACACCAGGGAAAGGACATCCAGAGAAGGGACCACAGAGGAAGGAGAAAGAGCAGGACAGAAATGCCAGAGAGTGGCAGAGGAAGAGGTGGAGGAAGAAAACCAAAGAGACACAGAGACCTCAGAGGTAAGAGAGACGGAGAGACAGACAGAGACAGAAGGATGGGAGCATGGAGAGGGAGGACAAGAGAGAGGAGCAGAGGGTTAGAGTGGCTCCGGGCCCGGGGAGGGGTCCCTACCAAAGTAGCTGTTGGCAGGGACTGGGATAAGGCGGGGGTCCTGCTCCTTCTCGCCCCCCGCCTCGTAGGGCCCGTCGTCCAGGTGGGCCAGGTCCGGCGAGCCCTGCGCACAGAGCTCCACCCTGGCCGTGCCTGCAAGGACAGTCCAGTTAGTGCCCAGGGTAGGGAGCAAGAAGCCCCCCTCAGGCTGGACACTGAATTAGACCAGCACACAGAGAAGTCCCTCCTCTCCTTTCCAGCTCCCTCTCCACCTTCTCCCGGCCCAAGCACCCTGGGGTCCCTCGAACCGGCATCACACTCACCGAGCGGCAACTCAGCCAGCGGCAGCGTGCGGAGACGGGAATGGCAGTGATGAGGTGTGGGCTGCTGTGACGGGGCATGCAGGCCGGGCTGGGTGGGCATGCCCAGCCATGCGCGTGGGGTTCATGCCAGCACGTGGAGGAACGCTTGGCCATGCGGAGGACAGGAGGGACCCCCATTTGTGTGTGGGCTAGCGGGATGGGACGGAAGGTATGGCAGTGCCCCGGGACAATATGCCAGTGAACGTGTGGTCATGCTCGGCCAGGTGCCGGCCGTCACCATCTCTCTCTGGGATAGGAGAAGGCTTTGGTTCCTTTCTCCCCTAAGAAGTGACTCACCCTTCCAGTTATAGGTTCCTGGAGCCCCAAAGAGGAGGTAATGGCTGTCAGGGGAGAAGGCAGCAGCTGCGCCCTGCTGGCAGAACCCAAACTGTTCGTGGCCCTGGGGGCGCCCCTCACAGAACTTCCACTCCCCACCGTCCAACTCGTCGCGGATGGCCAGGTCCTGGCTTAGCACAAAGCAGCGGCCAATCACATCCCGTGTCTCCAAGATCTGGTCCACTCGCTGCCTTGACTCGTATCGATGGGCACATGTCTAGGGAAGGGAGGAAAGTTCATTTACTTTTGTGTGCCAGGGACTTGCCCACTGCCACACCAGACATTTGATAGACGCGCGCACACACACACACACATACACACACGCGCACGTGCACACACGCACACACACTCACCTCTATGTCAGCATCACTTAAGCACCACCACCCAGCCAGTGTTAAACAAATCCTCACATTACTCAGTCTCCCACATGTACCCACGTATTTGCCTTTGCAGGAAGAAGTCCTTGCTTCACAGTCTGCCTGGACTCCCAGAGATACACAAATGAAGGACACATCATCTCTGATCCTAAAACAATCCTGCAAGATACTAAATTTGATCCTGTCCCTGGACGTTTGTGTTTTATTGTTGTGTTTTGTTTTTACAGTGCTAGCGATGAACCCAGGGCCTGGCACATACTAAGCAAGCACTCTACCACTGAGTTACAACTCCAATCCTTTTTTCTTTGAGACAGGGTCTCACTAACTTGCTCAGGCTAGCCTTGAATCTGCCATCCTCCTGCCTAGTCTCCCGGGTAACTGGGATTACAGGCATGCCCACCATGCCTGGCTCGTGCCCATTCTTAAAAGCCTGGCTCAAATCATCACACCTGCAGGAATACTTCCTCTTCTCCTTTGTACTCCTGGACCGGGGACTGGATCACTCACTTAGTGTTAATCATATTTGGCCCCACAGTGATTTGTACTGGTAATTCCAAGTTAGTGAAAGAGAAAAAAAGAAAAATGAGAATCTCTGCAACTAGTTAGTAGGACCTTCCTCCTGTCTTTAGATATTCTCTCAGTAACTAGCACAATGCCTGATGCTGTGAAGGTTCTCAATAAGAGCTGGGCAAATAGCTGGATGATTAGATGCTTTCAAATGTATAAATGTATAGAGACCACATCTTATACTTTTTATATCCCCCAAAGGCCCTGGGAATCACAGCATAAGTCCACCACACCCCACACACTCAGCAGCAGCAGCAGCAGCACCCTTGCATTCAGTCACAAGAAGCAGTCAGTACTCACAACAATCTTGCCCCCAGGTCCCTGGCTCCGAACACTGACTCCCAGCCACTGGTTCTCCTTGCTCTCCTTCTGCACATCAGCTGGAGGCAAGACACTGGGAATCAGAGGATGGAAGAAGAGGACAAGTTCTCTCTCTTCCCCTCCTCCTGTGCTTGGCCCGCTCTACTGCTCCAGGCCTCACCTCCCTGGTCGATGTCCACTCTGTAGCAGTCAGTCTCATCCGGGCTCAGAGGACAAGCAAAGAGGCCTCCAGTGCGATTCGCCTGCTGTCCAGGAAGAGCCAGGGCCTGGGGAGCGCCCATGAGAAGCCTGCACAATGGGGCAGGACCAGAGTTAGAGAAGGGTGCTCCAACCTCCCCAGAGTTGCCCAGGCTTAATCCCTAGGTGCCGAGCAGTGTTCAAGGACCAAAGAAAAGGAGAAAAAGTCATTTTTCTCAAACTCTAGCAAGGACACATTAACACATTTGCCCAAACAATCAGTCAGCATGTTACACATGCACATACTCTTTGGATGAAGGACCAGATGCACAGTAGACACACACAGAAACACACACCATGCCAACCAGACTAGGCCAGGCAGCACCACTGATTTGAAAGAACTGCCTGTTCCCGCACCTGTTCCTGACCAGGCCTTCCCACCCACTGCCTGGCCCCATCCCCAGGCTCTGCCCTCCTCCCCAGCCCCGATCCAGTTGAAACTCTGCCAGAAATGCCAGGAATTCTGGGAGCAAGAACAACAGGGGCCCAGACTGGCCAGCTCAGGGACCAGCCTCAGAGGCTGAGAAGGAAGTGAGAAAGGACCTGCTTCCCCACCTCAGGGGCCCAACAAAGAAAAAACCCACCCCACCCAGCGGCTCTGCCAGTCAGGATTCTACCAGTCACACTGTGTTGGCATGGATGTAGAAACCAGTTTCTCACTCTGTCTCCAATCCTATCCCCAGTCCCCTCCCACGCCCTGAATCCCATTCCCCAGCGCTCTTCCACCAACATCCATGGTCCTCTTTCCTCCCACCCCCACCCCCACCCTCACCATCTTCTCTCCTACCTCCCCCTCAGCCTCTTTCCCAGCTACAGCTTTCTTGGCAGGACAATTTTCCATGATCACGGCCAAGCCATCTTCCTCAGGGGAGGCAAGTGCTGGGAATGGAGGCGGCCTGGGTCCCCTGGGGATGAACCCCCAGGCCAGGAGTCAAGGAAGGGATCAGGTGAGGTGACTGACACCCAGCGGACTACATGGCTCCTCTCTGTGCAGCAGGAAACACTCAAAAGTGGAGGCAAGACAAACCTCACGGCCTCTCTCCCACCCTCTTCTTCCGTCTCTCTTCCTGAGGGGTGAAGCCCAAAACTGCCAGACAGTATGACAGCCAGGCATCTGTGGGGCACTCAGCCAGGTCTGAAGCGGGAGGGGGAGGCACAGCGCCATGCTCCTTCCCACAAGTTCTCCTCATCGCTCAGCAGCTGTCGCTCCTCGTCAGAGCCCGTGTCAAGTGAAGGGGGATGGGGAGCAGTGAGGAAGAGCACAACCGTGCGGCGTTCATTCAACGACTATTATCAAGCAGGGCGTGAGGGCACATGCCTATCAGCCCAGCTATTCAGGAGGCTGAGGCAGGAGGACTGAGAATTTTAAGCCAACCTGAGCAATTCAGCAAGACCCCATCTCAAAAAAAAAAAAAAATTTAACTTTCTTGACACTTTATCATATGCCAGGCCCCCAGTCTGACACTGGTAAGACAAGAAAGAGGTACTTAGTCAGCAATTACTGTGCGTCAGGCCCCAAGCTAGACTCAAGAGATATAAAGAAATAGCGCTCTCCACATATGGGCCAGGCAGCAGGTGAGTCAAGTCACATGCACTATCCTTTCGATCTTCACAACAACCCTATGAGATAAGGCTTCCTTTCTTGTCTTCCACATGAGCAAACTCATTCAAAGACATGAAGCAGTTATCCTGGAATTCAGATCCACCATTCCTGCCAATGACTGGCCTGTCCTCAAAACACTGAGGCTGCTGCATACAGCGGGGGGATTCTGAGAGGGGGTTGGGGTCCCCACAATAACCTCTCTTCGGGTCCTTGCCCTCACTCCAGCAAAGAATGAAGAAGTGGGGGCTCTTAGCAAAAAATGGGGGAGTCAAGACTGATATGGCACAAAGTGCAAGTTTATCTGAAGTAGCAAAAGCAGAGAAAGCCAAAAAGCCATCTCAGCAGCAGAGTGGTGCTGCAAGACTGGGGTGGCTGCTGGGGATGCCTGGTGAGTGTGAGGTGTGCCTCAGACTCATAGGGGTAAGCTGATTTTTTAAAATAACTGTTTCATTCATTGGTGTGGTCTACGCCAATCGGGATCTTAGTCTGGGGTCCCCCTAAGTTTCTGGGAAGGGGACAAAGTCAGCATACAGCAAATATAAGTAGCACTTTCACAAAGATACATTTAGTATATGTGCTGCTGAAGTGAGCACTTCCAGAAGGATATAGTAAGGTACATTTTCTCAAGCACATGGTACATGATAAACATGTGACAATCTTACACAGATAAGCATGTGATGATTTTATATCAGGTTTTGCCCCATTTTTTTTAATCTATGTCCCTCTAATCTGCCCCTATAAGACCACTCCAGAAAAAGAAGAAAAAGAAGAAAAAAGGAGGGTACTCTGGACTAAAAAGGAATCTACGTGACAGAGACCTGTGCATACAGGTACCAATCTTCAGACAAGTCAGCAGCACCCCCACCTTCAAATACAGCCGGGAACATCTCCTGAGAGACTTAGTATGTATTATCTTATCCTATCCTTTCCTGATCCCACACCCTATGTTATGTGACAATCTTACACAGATAAGCATGTGATGATTTTATATCAGGTTTTGCCCCATTTTTTTTTAATCTATGTCCCTCTAATCTGCCCCTATAAGACCACTCCAGAAAAAGAAGACAAAGAAGAAAAGAGGAGGGTACTCTGGACTAAAAAGGAATCTACGTGACAGAGACCTGTGCATACAGGTACCAATCTTCAGACAAGTCAGCAGCACCCCCACCTTCAAACACAGCCGGGAACATCTCCTGAGAGACTTAGTATGTATTATCTTATCCTGTCCTTTCCTGATCCCACACCCTATGCGAATGCTCAGAGGTATCTAAGAGAGACACCCAGTGCTTCAGCTGGTCAGCACACCACTGAGTACCCTAGGAGGCTAAAGTGTTCCATGCTCACATCTCCCCTGGAGGCCAAAAGTAGGAAGAAGACAGGGCCCATGTGGAAGAAAGAAGCTAAGTGAATAGACAAGCCCAGCCCCACTCTAGATGGAAAAGAAACCAGCCACTTCTTCCTAGAACCAAAGGACCCACACACAGCCACCCCAGCCCCTCCATCCCTGCTCCAGCCACATGGTTCTTCCTGGCTTCACCCCATGAGCCCCAGCCACTCCAGGCCTCCCAACAGAACAGCAGCCACCAAAGAGAGGAGAAAAAAGTGTTGGAAGCTGGGGTCCCCCTAAGTGTAAACAAAGCAGTAACCCACTACCAATGTACCTCTAGACTCTACACGTGCCAGGGCTCCAGCTCAAGTCCAGTCCCTCTCAAACCCCTTTGGTCCAGGTAGCCCATTGGGAAGGCTGCTTGGCCAGGGGCAGCTGGCTCAGCCTAAGGACCCTCTAGCCAGCCCTTGGGATCCAGGACGCAATAAGGCTAAAGCTGCTCTCTAGCTCTGTGAATCACAATTCAAGAATTACAGCATTTCATAGTATCACTTTCATACCATTCGTTATCAGCTGTGTTTTATTCTATGGATTTGGCATATATTAAGAACGCTTAAGGGGCCGGGGATTTAGCTCAGTAGTTCCACCGCCTGCCTTGAAAGCACAAGGATCTGAGTTAGATCCCCGGTACCAAAAAAAAAAGAAAAAAAAAGCTTAATCCTCAGACAACTCCATGTGGCAGTTCTATTGTTTATGGCCATTATACAGTGAGTGGAAATAAATGAAGCTGCAACCACAGAGCAGAGTAAGAAGGTTAGACCTCAAAGTCTCATCCAGAGGTTAAACTGAAAACAAGAAAGGTTTCTCCATCAGTGGGTGCCAAGGAAAGCAACCTGCAATTCAAATGCTAGGGCCTGAGCAAGGTACCTGACTTTCCAGTGCCATCAAGCAGCAGAGCGCCCCCTGCTGGAGCAAAGACTGGGTTAGGTAGTCAGGCCCTCTGGGAATGCCCCCAGTGGGAGACAGAATCAGGGGCCACCTTCAGAGACAAAGGGGAAATGACAAGAGACCAAGCTATTAAAAATAACCTAGAATTTGCCTGGAAATAGCTCAGAGTTCAGCATGTCCTAAAAAGGCCTCCAGCCCTGGAACTCTGGCAAAGGGGGGAAGGAGGGAGGGAGAGAGGGAGTGAGAGAGACAGAGATGAGGGAGGAAGTGACTGGCAGAAATGAAGTCAGTTACTTTCTATCTCCCCCAAGTTTTAGGGACAACAGACCCTGCTCCCAGATGACAGGGACAATGGAAGAAGAAAGATTAAAGCTGGCCCCCACATCCAGTGGGCGAGGAGAAATGAGCTCTTGTCCCTGCCCTCTGCCTCCAGGCCAGTAGTAGAAGGAAGACAGTCCCAGTGGACAGCATTGATCCCAGTAATGGACACTTAATGTGGCTTAGGCACTGGCTGAAGAGAGAAAAGCCCCCTGGCAGGAAGGACAGGAAGCTTTCTTCTTCTTGTCTTCCTTTCAGAGTCAAAGGTACAGGAGGCTGGTCCAGCCACAGGCTCCATACAAGTGTGTCCGTCACCCAGGGGTCCTGAAATGCTGAGAACTAGAACTGGCCTCTGCCCCTAGCTTCTCCCAGCCTCCCTCTATCGCGGAGATTTCTGGAGTTGGAAATTTCCTCAGGAGGAAGAAAGGGAGAAGCCTGGCCAGCATCCTTCCTGGATCTCACTGCTGCTGCTGCCACTGCTGCTGCTACTTAAGGCCACTCTTGTCACCGAACTACCACGTGCTCGCTAGGCAGTGCAGACACCAAGCCACCACTGCCCAATGCCAGGCCCTCCCAGGTCTTCTCCCAATTTTCCTGATGTCCTGAGCCACTAAAGTGGCAGCCACTCTCTCCTGGCCTCCCAGTGCCCTGAAGCCTTCACTCTACCCCCATGGTGAGGCCCTGGCAGAAAATCACCTCGCAAATGTACCGCGGACCCTCCCACAGCCCCTGGCAGGGACAGAATGGTTAGTCTTCCTCCCCGATGGAGCTTAGCCTTTTGCAGGAGAAGAGAAGCCAGAGACCCGGGGCTGCGACAAAGATGCAAGCTGGGTAGAAAAGCAAAGGAGATGGTTTCCTGCCAATGCAAAGCAAAAGCCTTGCTCCCCAACCACCCCCAAAGATCCTGGAAGTCAAGTCCTGAGTGGGAGTAGGCTGCAGACCCAAGACAGCGTAGGCAAGGCTCCGGGTAGGGATGTGGGAAGATAGATAAGGTGGCCAGGTAGCCGAGGAGCTGGGGGAGGGGTGATCTGTGGCTTGGGCCTGGGGGCTCCGGGCGGGGCGGTGACTCACCAGCTCTGGGTTTGGGGCCGCAGCTGCCGGTGCAGGGCCACGGAGAAACCGAAGAGGCTGCCCGGTTCACCCTCCTTGCGCAGGGCGCCCATCACGTCCAGGTTGAAGGCGACAGCGCGTGGGAAGAGAAGTCCGGCGAACAAGGCACCAAGAAGGGAACGAATCCCGGGAGCCCCCCGGGGATCGCAGCTCCGAGTCCGGGCCATGGGGCGAATCCGGCGCGCGCTCCTGGCCAGCTCAAGGAAATTGTCGCGCTCCGAGCCTCGGCGTCCCCGGGCGCGTCGGTGCGTCCCCAGGTCTGGCTGCTCTTGCGGAGCTCTTCGGACCTTTCGCCCTGCCACCCTCCCT